GGGGAAAAAATCCTTACCACAGACAAGCCTTTATACCGTCAGCATGTATAATGCAAAGGTTTCAATGTGCAAGAAACATGCACTTGCTTTAACAATTTCATGTCATGGCTGGCGCCTATCGTCAAGGGGGAAAAAAAACACAGGCCAAACAAAAGAAAAGTTAACCAGACAAATATTCTACATTTCAAATGGGAAATACCGTGTAACATGAAAAGTTTCCCGGGATGGGCATCTCTACGATGATGGGCGTGAAAGTTGGAGGGAGTTGGTATCAAGAGTCACCGGATGTTGTATTGCCAGAAGTGGAGCGGTGAAACTGTCAAGAGAGATGGTTAAAATAGCGAACTGATATAGGGAAAAAAAAGAACACCAAGAACCCTACCTTGAATTCACAAGGAGGGAGAGAGATGATATGTATGTATGTGTATATATATTGGTCGAAATGGGTTCGTCGCCCTCCCAAAGACTATAATAATGTATCCCTAAACACGGAAATACTTTGCGATTATCGGCAAAACTTTTTTCACAAATGTCATTCATAATATTGTTTTACACTGTAAAATTATAATAGAATCGTGAAATAATTTAACTCACCAGAATCGCCATACACATTGAATACGGGGCCGTTCGTTATTGGAGACGAGAATCCAAAAGATGATAATTCCACTGAACACTCGCGTACGACCGCACGCAAAAGAAGCTTGGAGCAACTGGATAAAATTCCAAATTCTGGCGAAAAGCGCCAATGACGCGTAGGCGGCATTATTGCCAACTAATTTTGCGACTACGCCTGCGCACTGCCCAGTGGCGCGCAAATTCAAATATTCAAACTGTAATAGTTGAAAATCAAAAATTTAATTTAATTTAATTTAATTAATTTCTGAAATTAATTAAATCAATTTATCAATTATATAATACGAAATTGTAATAAAAATAAAGAATACCATTAATTAAAAAGGAAATAAATGCGACAAAGTGAATATTAACAGTTTTTAAATGTTTATTCATTGTAAATACATATCTGTTCGTGCTTAGCTCTCAAGATGAAAATAAAGCCAAACAAGATCTGCTTTAAAATGTTCTCTATAAGCTAAAGAGCATTTTTCTCTTTGTTTTCATGTGCGATAATTAACAACAGTACAATTACGATAAAATTTTTCAAATATCAACTATTCAATCTATTTAAAAATTTTCATAAACAAATTTAATTAAAATCTTTCAAATTTCGCATTAAAATAGAATTTTGTCAATTAAGTTAAATAAAACTTTATCAAATGGAAAATTAGAAGAGTGATGAAAATAAAATTTTATCGAAAAAGTACTAATTGCAGTCGCACAAGATCATTTTTTTTTCTTCAAATCGTGTAAACATGAAAACGCATTAACTTTTAATATACATAATATTTTTTTACCTCTTAAAATATAATTTTCTTATTGTTAATTACTTGCGTTACGCGAATACCAAATTTTCTTTATTTACAATACACACTTGTTAATTGAATCTCGTGAAATTATCTCTTTTTCTTTTATTCTTGGTAACTTTTAAGGCCAGTTGAAATTTCATTTTTTTTTAGACAAGTACATTTTGTTTGAAATGGAGTTACAATTTTTTGTGAGCATTTTTCTTTTTTAATTTCATTATTATTTGCACAATATTATTTTAATTCTATAGGAAATTTTTTTACACAATTTTATGGAATTTTTTTTTTCGATTTTCAAAAAAAGAAAAAGCAATTAGTAATTGTTATTATTGTTATTTTCTGATTTTTAACTATTAGATAGTAGTTTTCAATTAAATTTATTAATGCAAAAATTAGAAAAAAATTTCTTTTTTCAAATTTTAAGCATTAATCGTAGAAAATTGTTTTAAATTCGAAAAAAAATTATTATAAAATTATAATTTTTACTCGAAATATCAATAATTCATTGAGAAAAGTCAGAAAAGTTTCGCTAATTTTTTTAATTTATAATGGAAAAAAATACGATTTCTCACGATATCGACTGTAATATAATAATGGTTATTTTCTTCTAAATATATATATATATATATGGTCCCTACAAAAAATAGGTTACATCTATAAGCGATTTACAGTTCATTGATAATTTTATGTAATATAATAATATGTATATACACACATATCCATATCATTACACGCACTATTTCTATATTTAATACTTTTCATAATTTTCTTTTCACTCTACAACTCACGTTTCTTCTTTCTCTTAAAGAAAGGAATGTTATATTGTTTTAGACGGTTACTAATCAAAATTAATTCCTTAATTATTAATCTACCTATATTTTCCTTTTCAAAAAAAAAAAATTTGCAATTACAATACAGAGAACTTAATTCCATTTAAGTTTTTACAAAAGAACCACAGGAAAAATTCAAATAACAAGAAAATAAAAATTCACAAAAGAATATCAAATATTGGGAAAATTTACTGAAAACGATGACAAAAAATCCAATAAAAAAATATATACTGTACTTCAAGTATTTTTTGATAACGTGCAAATTCAAAATTTACTTTCAAGTTCTCCATTTCGTTCAATTTTTAACGAAAAAAAGTCTCACAAAAACGCAATAATTTTTCACAATAATAATAATAATAATAATAATAATAATAATAATAATAATAAAAATTAATAATAATATTAATAATAATAATAATAATAATAATAATAATAATAATAATAATAATAATAATAATAATAATAATAATAATAATAATAATAATAATAAAACTTACAATAATTGCATTATTAACTAGTTATGTACATACGATGTTCTTAAATAATACCGATCTTTTCATCGATATTATTTTCAGAAAAAAGATCTCAATGAGTTCATCAGAATTAGTCTAATTTAAAAATCAGATAAAAAAAAATATAAACCACATTGTTTAGTACCTATTTTTTCTCTTAAAAATTGAGATTTAATTTTTCCTTTTCCTAAAAATTGAGATTAAAAATTAAATACTTTTCATTTTTCAAGTAACCAGCACTGAGATTCGAAAAAATATTTAATAAAAATAATTTTCCTTCATATTATGAAAATATAATTCACTTCTGAATAGTCACAAAAATTAATTTTTTGTGAACTCAAAGAGAAGTTTTTCAAGTTTACATTATTATTTCTGTATCCGTCAATTATTCACAATTTCTTTGTTTTCTTTTTCTTTTTAAAATTACTATCTATCGTAAATTTTACGAACTTCTTCAAAAAATTCTATCGTCTCAAGCGTATTTATCACAATGTAAACCTGCGAGGTACGTACGTTCGAGTGCAAATTATATAAGAAAATTAATATTAGATTCACAAAAATCTATCATCGACGATTCGAATTTAAAGTCTAGAAAGATAATGGACAGTTTTATTTTTGTTTCATTAATGATTCGAACTATTTTTGTTCGAAAAATTTCTTTTTGTTTTTTATAAATTGACAGCGTAAGGCCAAGTAAGCTGCTAAATAAATAGAATATTTATTTGAAAATTGAAAGTGCTCAGGTGTGATACGAGAAGTGTACCCTAGAAATATTTTATAACTTCTTTTTTTTTCTCCTTTAAGTTTAGATATGTTTTTAGAGGCCATTTATTAGGCTTTATACATAATTAATTAGATATTGAAAATTTTTTTTTTTTTGATGTGTGATAATTTGAAAATAAATTTTTCGATTCAAGGCAGATTAGGTAAATGGCTGAATTGAAATTTTCATTTCGTTTTGTTTTTCAATAAAATAAAGTGTCTTAAATTTCTAAAGACAAAATCGTACCTGAGTGAGATATTAGTATTTTCATTTTCGATTATGGAGTTTGATAAGAATTAAATATTGCACTAAAGTGATTAATTTCTCTAATTAAGGTTCCGTGGGTGATAATTTTTGACAATGTTTAATAATTTGTAACATTTGCATTTCTATTTAGAAATCAAAATTTTCAAGGGTTTTTTTTTGGAGAGAAAATCTTCCAAATAAAATTTAAATAAAACTTTTCAAGGAAGAAAACCCTTGAAAGGAATTTAAAAAGACAAAGAAACTGACAATGAGAAAATAGTGTAAAATTATTCAAATTCCAAATATTAAAAATTGTCAACAATTTTTCATAAATGCCTCAAGTAAACTACATTTAGAACCTTATTGACTCGCAATCGATGAAATTATTTAATAACAAGTGAAAATATTTTTTCGTTGCATGGAAGTATTTTTCTTTTCTGTATACACAAGATTTTTCGAAACTAAAATCTTTCTAAAAATTGAAAATATTTTTTTTTCAAAGAGTACTGAAAAATCATTTTGCAAACTATCTGCTTCTAGTCAAAAGCAAAAAAAAATATGCTTCGAATTCTTGTTCTATTTGTTACCTACTCAGATCACTACGAATATTTCTCTCCCGACATTAATTATTACTATATTGACTAATCATTTCCGTAAATGTTAATTCTATGTTATAAAATTATTTAACTGTGACTTACAATCTACTATTTGTGTCGATCAATAATTTGTTACTAATATTATTAGTCCATTATCATTAATTGTAAATTTATCTAGTCTTATATTTCTTAAGGCAGGCTTTTTTCAAAATATTTACAATCTCACGTTCACTTTTCTTTACTGAAAAAGAAATTATTCGCCTCAAAGAAAAAGAGATCGCTTGAAAACTGTAAAATGGATAAACTAGCAAAGAAAAAAAATTAAAAAAAAGAATTCTTCAATTTGAAGTAGATTTCAATTTGACAAAAAATTTTCACATCTTGAAAATTTCATTTTAGTCTACAGTTTTAACAAATCAATTAAATTCTAACGAATGGGATTCGTTTTTTTTTAAAAAGAAGGTCACGTATTCAAAATTATTATTATTATTAGTGGTAAATTATTTTCTAATAAATTTATTCTACTAGTGGGAGAAAAAAAATGGTCTAAGGCACAAAAAAAAATAATAATCTTACAATTCTACATTCATATTGAAAGAAAAGTAATTTACCACAAATAATAATTTTAAAAAGTGACTGATATTTGAAAATAAAAAGCTAGAATAAAGTAATCATTAAACAAGCAAATCGCGATTCTCGTTTTTATTTGGAGAATTTACCGTTTCAGTATCGAGATCATCGGGGGCCAAAAGTGCCTGCCTCGTATCAGAGATTTCCAAATCATTTTTTGAGCGACCCGAGGATTCAGTTTCCTCAAGATTCGTTGACTTTGTAGGCTCCGTGGGAGACGATATTGATGATTGCGTGGGATTTTCAGTGCTCGGCGAACTGCTTCCCACGTCCGTATGATGTGGTTTTTCTTCAAATACTAAAATATTCAAGGGAAAAATTAATAAAAAAGAAATCAAAATTAATAATGGTGAAAATCAATAAAATAAAAATTATTTACATTTGTCGAGACTGATAATAGAACCGACTAATTCATTGACTGTCAGAGATGGTGGCATGTCCTCCATGTGCTTTCTTCTTCTCACTAGCCACCAATCAATTAGAAATAGTGCGAGGGCGAGAATTTTTATTCCAGCACAAAGGCCAACGTACCTGAATTAAAAAAGAAAGAAACAATTTACAAAAGTCGAAGGGACAAATTTTTTTGCTTAAATAGAGAAGAAAGAAGAAGATAATTACTTTAAAAAAAAAAATAGAAAGAAAATAAATAGATTTTTAATTAGAAAAGAAAATAGAAAGAGAAGAAGAGAAAAAGAAAATAATTACTTGTATCTAAATTGCTCGATATCGTAAAGAAGGCAACGTCCTCCTTTTTCCCCGCAAGTGCTCTTCCATAACAAGCACGTTGAATCTATTAAATTTCCAAAAAGAATTGGCGCTGGTATATAGCCAAAAAGCCTAAATATTACAAACTGCATTCCCAAGGCAAAAGATCTTTCCTCCTCAGACACCGAACTGCAGGGACAAAATTAATAACAATTATATAATAATTTATCAATAAAATCCTGTAAGTAAATAATTGATAAAATTTACAGGCCACGAATCGATTTTAAGTCGATGAGTTGATTAAAAATACAAAAAAAGTTAAATATTTTATTCACTTCTTTGACACAAAACATTAATTTTGTATTTCCTTGATAATTTATAAATTCAATTATTAAAGAACTTCAATAACTTTGTTCAATAAATATTTAAATATGTACTTCATAATTATTTTTTTCACAGGAATTTAAATTTTTTAAATTTCAATTTGAAATTTTCTGAAATTTTATTATTTCTAAAAATTACAACTGTAATTCTTTCCAAGTTCAATTATTTTCAAAAAATTTAACTAAACTTCTTTTCTAAATCAAATATTTTTAATAATTTTCCAATAGTCTTCAAGAATTCAATTATTTAAATAAAAAAATTCAATTTTTTACAATAATTGTAATTGTAACTCTTCACAGTACTTTTTTAAAGAAGTTATTAAGGTGAATTATTAAAATTACGTAGATACCTAATCGAAAATATTGAAAATAATTGATTTCTGAAAAATTAAAATAAAGAAATTCAGTCTTAAAATTAGTATTTTTTAAATATTTTTTAATAATTTTAGAAAGATAATTGATTTTTCAATTATGTATAATTAAAAAGATGCCAAATAATTGAAATGTAGTTAAATCTTTGAAAAATATTCGAATTTCTAGAGAATATAAATAAATAATCAAGTTTTTAAAGAATTTTCATTAAAAAAATATAAAAATACATAATTTTCCCAAAATTTTAATGATAAGACTAAAAATATTGATTACCTTAGGTACTATTTTTTGAAGATAATTTAAATTTATAATAATTTTAAAAAGTTTTTTAATTGTTTAAAAACTCTGATAAACAAATTCTAAGAAAAACAGCTTTTTAGAAGCATTGTGAACGTAATTTTTCAAAAATAGGTAAATGAATTTCTTCAAAAAAAAAAAAACTTGATCAATTCAAAGAACTAATTAATTTTTTGAAAAATTTTAATTCAAAATTTTGATTATGATTGTTTACTCAAAAACTTTAATAATTCAAAAAAAATTTTAATTTCCTACAAAAATTCGAATGTAATAATTTTTTGTAGATATTTGAATTTTCAAAAATATGTAATTGAAAATATTGAAAATATAATTGAATTTTAAAAAAATATAATGAAAAAAATAAAGTAAATATTACATTTTTTAAAAATATAAATGTATTTATTTTAATATTGTTTTTTGAAGCTAATTTTCCATAATTTTCATTTAAAGATTTTTTATTTAAATTTTGGAGAATTCAATTATTTTAAAAATTTGTTATTAAAATTCTTCACGATTTAAATTTTGAATAATTTTAATAAAATACTTTTAAATAATCAATTATTTTCGATAAAATTTTACAAAAATTTCAATTATTCAATAATTTAATTATCTGAAAAAAAATATTTAAAAATAATTATGTATTGAATGATTTGACTAGCTAGGTTCACACTATAAAAATCGAAATAAGTTGTATACGATAAAAAGGATCTTTTGTTGCAATATTTGGAAGAAAAGCCGAAAAAGACGTAATTTTTGAAAGTTGCATTTTTTGAAAATAAAAAAAAGTCGAGGCCTGAATTTAAATTATTTATAAATTAAATGCAATCTTCTGTGAATTTAATTTATTTTAATAATTGAAATTACTTAATTAAATTAACTAAAAAAGTCTCACCGTAAAACTATCATTAATAGTGGCATTTGCGTGACTGCGACGACAAACGTCATGAAGAAGAGGAGAATAAGAAATGGAAATATCGTTCTACAAGGGGAAGTACAAGGCCCTGCTGTTGCCACAGGAACGACAGTAACTTCAGCAAATTCAGGAGCAACTGGTGGAACAATTGATAAATTGCTGTGAATACCTGCAAAAAAAACAAGAAAATCCTTTAGTTTTCATTTTTTTCTAAAATTACGCCAATTAATTTACAATTCATAAATTCTATCAATTTTAGAATAACAATTTTTTCCAAGAAAAACAGAAAACAAAAATATTGCCCTAAATTCTCTAAAATAAGTTCAGAAACATTAAAAAACTATTTTCTTCTAGTCAATAAAAAAATTTAGGAAAAATTTTCTATTTTCTATTGTCAAGAAATAAACGAATAAAAGAATTTATACGATCGTACTCACATGCGCAATTAGTGAAATTGGATTTGGAGCTGAAAGCAGTACATCCGGCATGACAAGGACTAAAGTATGTGAGACCATTATTTCCGCAAACAGGTTCAACATCGGTCATACGACACTCGCAACCAAAATTGCAGGCGGCAGTGAGATTAACTTGAAATGGTTCAAGACCTTTCGTACTGCTATTGTAATATGGAATTGTGGTCCCGGCCATTTTCACATTATCGCATCCAAGGAAAAATAATAATCCATAGCATGTGAGGCAAATAATATTCGAGACTAGAACAAATTGCACGGCGCCCTTTGGCCTCAATTCAAGACGTTTTAGTAGGCATCCACCAATAAAAATGCCAATGCAAGCTCCCGGTATCGCGATCGAACCAGTAAAGACGCTCGCTTGGCTCTTGCCCAAACTAAATTGCGTTTCCAAGTACTTGGGCAAAAATACGACAAATCCTGAAACAATCACTAACTCCATGCAGGCGCCTAAACACGTCACAATGTAAACTGGATTGCACAAAAGCCTCCACATACTTCGTGGAATGTCTGGAAAAAAAATTATTTATTACTTAGAAAGAGCGGAGAAAAAAAATTACAACTTTAATTCAATTATTAATTAAATTAATTTAAATTCTTTTTAAATAACTTAAATTTTGAACAACTATCATGAAATAAATAAATTATTTAATGAATAATTTTACTTAAATATTTCAAAATTATTTCAATTAGAATCAATTCAATTTTAATGAACTTAGATTTTAGAAAAATGTTAATAATTAAAAATCTTTTAAAATTAGTTAAATTTGTCAAAATATATTTAATTAATTATTCAAAATAATAGATTTATAGAAGAATTTTAGTTAAAAACACTAAAAAAAATTCAATTTTGAAGAAGTTACAAACGATTGTAGAAATTCAATTATTTTCAAAAGTAATAAAATTCTTATCACAAAATTCATTTATGTTCAAAATTTACAAAAAAATCTCGACAAAATTCCAATTCCTATGTTTATACATCAAAAAATCCTTCTTCAAAATCCAATTCTTTTCAAAAATTTTAATAACTTAGAATGAAAAATTTTAATAAAATTCTTGTCAAAATTTCAATTATTTTTAAAAATTTCCCTCATTTCAATGATTTTCAATATCTACTATTTTAATAAAATTACCCAAAAGAATTCATATTATTTAAAACCAATTTTAATAAAATTGTACGCAAACGTTTAATTATTTTGATAAAATAAAAATTTTACAGGAATTCAAATATTAACAAATTTTTTATGTTTCTTCTCAATAATTCAATTATTTTCAGAAATAATAAAACTCATCGCATACTTTCAATTACTTTTAATACAATTTTAATCGAATTCCTGGAAAAATGTAATTATTATTAAAAATTTTATTACAATTCGTCAAAAGAATTCAATTATTTAAAAATTTGTTAATAAAATTCTTTATAAGAATTAAATTTTAAGAAACATTCAATTATTGTATTAAAATTATAATTTTTTTTTCATCTTTAAAAATGATCTATAAATATAATTGTATTTTTGAAAATGCATTATTTTATATAAATTTACAAAAATTATTCTATTTAAACAATTCAATTCTCATAGTTGAACTCTCATAGGAATTGATTTTTTTAAAAAATTACAGTTATAATTTTAGAAAATAATTGAATATTTAAAATGTTATAACAGAAACTTTAGGAATTATTTAGATTTTAAAAAGTTTTTAAATTAAATTCCTAGAAAATTTAAGAAAAGCAAAAGTATAAAAATATTTAAATTTTTATTTTAAAAAATTATTAATTACATTATTTTTTTAAAAAAAATTCTTAAAGATTTTCAATAATTTTATTCAAAAATTCTAAAAAAATAATTGAATTTTGAAAGAATTACAGTTGCAATTTTTAGAAATAATTAAGTTTCATGAGCTTTTTTTATTGAAATTATTTAAAATTTTAATTCCTGTGGAAAAATAAATAAGAATAAGTTTTTAATTTTTTGTTTAACAAAAAGTATTGAAGTTTTGAATTATTTAATTTAGAAATTCCTAAAAATTTGTTTCTTGAAAAGATGTAATTAAATTTTTTTAAAAAATAATTGTATTTCCGAAAATAATTTTAAAAAATTGATAATTTTGTGAAATTTCATCTGAATTATATTTTAATAAATTTTATTTGTTTACTTTTAAAAACTATTTTGAAATATAATCGTATTTTTGAAAAATTCTAATTGAAAATTAGGAAAATAATTGAATTTTAAAAGAATTTAGAAGAAACTTATTACCAGGAGTAAAAAGTTATTATTTAATCAAAAATATTCAAGTTGCTGTTAGAAATATCTTCAATAATTAAATTTAATAAAAAGCTGTTAGAAAAGTTATAATTTTTAAAAAATGAAGAATTTTTATTAAATTTTAAAAAGCATATCTTTTAAAGTAACAGTGGAAATTATTGTTTTTGAACAATAATAATAATTATTATAGATATTCGTAAATAACTTTAACAGAATGATTTTTTTCAATAAAATTTTTTCCTTTCTATTCTAAAAATTCAAAAAATTTTAGTTTCATTTTCAATTAAATTTTCTAATTTACGAATATAATTTATAAACATTTTTGTCCTTTATTTAAAAAAAAAACTTTGAATTTTATTAAAACAATTGAAATTAAGAAATAGAATGGATGCAAATTATTTCCTTATAAAAATTGAGAATTTTCTACAAAAATATTAAGAAACGAGAATAACTAATGTTTTTCTTTCTAAAATAAAAAAATGAGTTTGTAAACAATATTATTATTGTGAAATAAAAATTTTTTAACAATTAACAATTTTCTAGTATTTTTTATGAATAAAAAGAAGAATAATTTGTATAATAATTTAGATCAGTCAAACGAAATTTGTTATAAAAAAACCATATAACGAAAAAAATTGGTATATTTTTTATTTGTTAATCATAATTTTTAAAAAAATTTCAATTTGTAATAATTATTTTATTATAAATCATGAAAAAATACCTGCATATTTTCCATTTGTCAAACAATATTTTTTAAAGAGAAAAAACCAAAAGCATACACAGAAACTAACTTCAAACTGCGGACAGAATGAATGAAAGAATACGGAGATTAATTAATGAAATTAATTAATTAATTAATTATTACTATTAAAAATTATTTTTACCTTTAATATCCTTTCCGTAAGCAGTGTCATCAGTGTCGATGACTTTCTTTATTTCTTTAGCGGGTTCCTTCTCCTTAATTGGCGGTGGTTTGCTCTTCTCGATAATTCGGATTTTTTCTTTCTCACGCTGCAAGGTTTTTGGGAAGCTGAAGAATGGAATTGCAGTTACAATGAGAAGCAAACCACATAGTAGAAATCCTCCCCACCACATTCCTACCCATCGATGATCACCCGGATCTATAGACAAAAGATAAATCGATTAGAAGATGAAAAGAAAAAGAGAAAATCAATAATAATAATAAAAAAAAGGAAAAATATTCACCAATGCTTATGATATTTCCAGCGAAAGAGTCCATATGATAGGAGAGAAGGAACGCTCCCAGAAGGAAGCCAAGAACTGGACCGAATGCTGCCATACTGTAGACACAGCCTGAAATCATTTTTTCCTTTTTAATTATATATTTTAATTAAACACAAATAAATATAAATATAATTATTATTTATAAGAAAGTACTATTTCTATCTATTTTATTCGTAAATAAATAATAAAAATAAATTCGAAAATATTTTTAATTTTATCGTAATTTAAATTCTGGAATCAAATCAAAAATAAATTTTTTATCTTTTTATTGAACTAATTAATATTTTATTTTCGTATTCAGAATTTTGATTTTACATTTTCATATTAATAAAGAAATAAAGAAAGAAAAATAATAAAAATAGCGTTTAGTGTAAAAAACTAAATGAAAATATAAATATTAAAAAAAACATGATTTATCACTTTTTACACTAAAATTTGTAATTGAATTTAAATTAAATTAAGAAAAAAAGTGAGGAATTTACCAATATACAGGGAAGCACTGTCTTGACTGACATGATCGTCTATGTACGTTGTACCTAGAGTAAAAAGAGGCGAACCCCCGCATCCTAATAAAAGTTGAGCAAGCACAAAAAGCAAAACAGGGCCAAATGTCGACGGAGTTCCTTGAATGCAATTATCACCTCTTAAATTGTTATGCGGCGCTAAGGGTGGTGACGCGAGACCAGTTGAAAGACGACCTAAAACACGAAAAACAAACATAAATCTCCATTTTTCATTCACAGGCAATATTTTTAAATTTGTCACAATTTTCTCCCCTTATAGTTAAAAAGCAATTTTCTTTCATTAAAATATGTTCATAATTTTTAATAAATATAATTGAATGAGAAAACTGAAAACTACAATTTTTATTAGAGAAACTATTTATGAATATTTTTACCATAATTTTCTTCTTATTCCATTTATATTATAGACAATTTTTCTTCAAAATTAAATTCGTAATTAAGGAATTAACTTTTCGTCTTTAAATTTTTAAATGGAATTGCCACAAAAATTAATTTTGTTTTTCCCTCACTTTTCCCTGATTTACAGACAAAATTTTGACTTTTCTGCTGACTCTAAAGAATATTCTGATTCACCCTAAAAATGATCAGATACTCAAAAAAAGGTTTTATTGCAATTTTTTTTACGAATTTCATTAATTGTAAAATTATTCGAAAACATCAATAGATTTATTTAAAATAAATATTTAATTATTATTTTTCCATAGGAATTAAGATTATCAAAAATTCCAATTTCAAACCTTTTTGAAATTCAATAACTTACAAGAATAATTTTTTTATTATAAAACATGAAAAAATCGATCACTCCGAGTCCTCGACTCGGAGCAATCGATTTTTTCATGTTTTATAAAGATGTCAAAAGAATAAAACCAATATTTTATATTATAAGAATGTTGTTACTGTAATAATAAGATGTAAAAGTTGTTGATCAGTGTTAATTATTTAAATAGTCAAAGATGTATTTTGTGTCAATTTTATTCGTCTGATCGTAAATAATAATAATAATATAAAAATGAGCTTTCGCTCCGCGACGCAGAGCCTCCTCAGATAATAAATCTGCGAAAAAAGGAAAAAGATTGTAAAATCCTCCCTTCACAAAAATATGCGAATCTTATAAGAGTTAACCTCAAAAACTTACCAAAACACGAGTAAAAAACAGATATTGTACATATATAATCATAAAAAAACTCTCCTCCAACGAAAAACATGAGTGACCGCCAACGACAAAAACTATTACAAATTAAACAAACGAAACATAACAATAAATAGAGGAAGAAAAACTCCCTCATTTTTTTAAGTCACATGTTGGCAGATGATTTTCTTTACAAACTTTTTTTTAAAAACGCGAATATAGTGCATGTGTTTGGTTGGTAAAACAGATTTCATTCATGCAACCTTTACGCACGGAATATAGGGTGCGTTACACTCTCACGAGAAGATTCAAAAAAAAAAAAAAGATTTTTTAAAAAAATTACATTTGGTTGGAAAATTTTATAATTTGTTTGTATTTAAAATTACATTTCTATAAATGTCATTGAGTGACTTGGTATCAGTTCTCAAATTTACTGAATTGGTATTTTTTACTATTTGGAACATTTCTTTGAAAGTTCTACGGGTGTAGCTCCTCTCTGTTTTTAAAATTTTAACGTTTTTAAATTGAAAAAGATGGTCATTCTCATGGGAGTGTTTAACAAGCGCTGATTTTTGATGGTCACGTTCACAATCTCTCATATGCTCTTTCACCCGATCTTTCAAATATCTCTCAGTCTGACCAATGTATACACTACCACACTCGCACGGAATACTATATACAACATGCGATTTCAGGTCGAAAGGTGTTAAATCCTTATTCTTAATAAAACAATTGTAAGGATCTTTTTCGTAGGAGAAAACCACCCCGATGCCAAAAGCATTATAAACATTCTTAAAAAAACAAGATAAGTCTTTACTGTAGGGTAAAACTATCATGTTCCTTGTATCAAAGTCTGTCCTCCTCGACACATTGTTTACATTAGAATTAAGAGACAGAAGTCTCATGTTCACATATTTTTTTATGAATGGTTCTGGAAAATCATTCTCTTTAAGTATATTAAAAATCAATTTTACATTTTCATCCTGAAAACTAATGTCGGATAATTTAATAGCTCTATCAATTAAACCATAAATGACTGAAATTTTATCTTTAACGCAAACTTCTGAATTGAAATTGACATATCGTCCTGAAAAAGTTGACTTTCTATACCAATTAGTTATAAGTCTATTGTTTCTTCTATAAATTTTTACATCCAAGAATGCAATCGAATTATTCGACTCCTCTTCGATGGTAAATTGAATCCTTGGGTGATAAGAGTTAAAAATGTCAAGCATGTCGGTGACACACTCTTCTGGTATACAGGTGATTATGTCATCGACATACCGGAAATAAAAAATATATTCAAAATTTAGTTATGTTTCGTTTGTTTAATTTGTAATAGTTTTTGTCGTTGGCGGTCACTCATGTTTTTCGTTGGAGGAGAGTTTTTTTTTATGATTATGTACAATATCTGTTTTTTACTCGTGTTTTGGTAAGTTTTTGAGGTTAACTCTTATAAGATTCGCATATTTTTGTGAAGGGAGGATTTTACAATCTTTTTCCTTTTTTCGCAGATTTATTATCTGAGGAGGCTCTGCGTCGCGGAGCGAAAGCTCATTTTTATATTATTATTATTATTTACGATCAGACGAATAAAAGTTGTTACTGTAACTTCTTCAAAATTATTTTCATCATTTCAATTCAATTATTATTTTTTAGAATTTCTAACTAAAATATTCTTTTCTAAATCAATTATTTTTAATAATTTTTTTGAAAAAGTTCTTTAGGAATTTTAAAATCCATTTGTTTACAATTCAATTTTACGAAATTTCAATTATTTGAAAGTTGTTCAATTAAATATATATGAAAATAAAAACTTCAAATAATTTCAACAAAATTCAATTAAATTTTTTCAAAAAGATTAATTTTACAGAATTGTCAGTTAAAACTATGAAAAATTCAAATTTTAAAATATTTTAATTTGAAAACTTTTCAAAATTCAATTATTTCTAAAAATAAAATTCTCATAAAGAATTTATCTACGAATTTTTAAATAATTGAATTCTTTTGACGAATTTTAATAAAAGTTTAAAGAATAATTTCATTTTTCGAGGAATTCGACTAAAATTGTATTAAAAATAATTGAAATTCTCCGATGAGATTTATTATTTATGAAAATAATTGAATCCCTGTAAAAAATTTTATCATTTATGAAAATAATTGAATTATTGCGAAAATATTTATAAAAAATATGTAAATAATTCAATTCTTGTGAAATTTTGATTATTTATGAAAATAATTAAATGTTTGCTTACTATTTTAATAAATTTTTTTTTAAATAATTGAAATCTTTTGGAAAATTTTATTAAAATACTAAATATTGAAAATCATTGAATCGAGGAAATTTTTTTTTAATAATTGAAATTTTGCCAAGAATTTTATTAAAATCTATGAAAATAATTGAATTTTGGAGAAGAATTTTATTATTTATAAAGATAATTGTAATTTTTGTTAGAATTTTAAAAATATTTTTGATAATGATTGAATTTCTTCGAAGAATGTTATTACTTTTGAAAATAATTGAATTTCTGAAATCATTTGTAACTTCTCCAAAATTTAACTTTTCGAAAGTGTTTTTAACTAAAATTCTTCTATAAATCTATGATTTTTAATAATTAATTAAAAAATTTAACTAATTTCAAAAGAATTTGAACTATTAAAATTTTTCAAAAATCTAAGTTTTTTAAAATTTCTAATGAAATTCATTCAAAATTGAAATTTTATAAAATTTCAAATTGAAACCTTTTTTGAAGCTAATCTTCTCATGAAAATTGTAAACGCAACTATTTTAAAATCCAATTAATTTTGAAATATTTAAGTAAAATTATTCATTAAATAATTTCTAAGTAATACTTTTATGATAGTTCTTCAAGAATTAAGATATTTAAAAAGAAATTATTGTCAGAAATAGAAAAAATTGAAGGTTTTGTAATTAGAATTCGTGGCAATTTCATAGTTTATGAGGCAAACAAAAAACACCAAAATTCAGAATTTTCTTATGAATTCTAATTTTTTTTTTCTAATTTTCTAATTTCTAATTTTTCCAGTACTTTTAATAAAAATCCCTGACTTTTCCCTGATTTGTGGCAACCCTGAATGAAATATTTTGCTTTTTGTGGTAGTCGTAAAATGTAATTAATTAAGATTTATTTTCCATTTTAGTGAGAAGAAAAGAATTATTCAATTTCAATTTACCTAGTCCCATATCCTGCTCACGCAGCGAGACTCCACGGCAAATATTATCTGAATTGGAGGCATTGGAAGTGGTTGTGAGGTTTGGTTCAGCTGTAAAATGCGGAATGACAAAAACCATTGAACCTAATCCTGTTATTACCGCACCTGGAAAATAAAGAATATTTTTAGCAATATTTCACCAATGCATTGAAACTAAAAAACAAACTTCACTTTACTATAAATTTCCATTTCTTTCAGAAGAAAAACGACTTTAATTTCTTAAAATTACAACTACTTTTAATTTATTTTTTTAAATTCGTAATTCAAATATATTGAAGTTTTTTTAATATAATTGAAGTTTTTTTTAATACAATTGAAGTTTTCTCAATATAATTGAAGTTTTTTAAATTAAAGTTACATTTTTTTAATTAAAGCTTCTTAATATAATTTAAGTTTTTTTTAAATACAACTAAAGTTTCTTAAATTTAATCCAAGTTTTTTTAATACAATTAAAGTAATTTAACAAATTGAAATTTGATACTCACCGATTGCTATCCAAACGGGAATGTGTCTTCGACTACCGAGATAACTGACAAAAATAACAGTAATAACATTTCCTATTTCATAAAAGCTTGCTATGAGACCCGAAAGACTGGACGGGATCTCAAATCTCTTCTCGATCGTTGTGATCACAGAATTAATGTACCCTGAGCTGAGTGCTTGTTGTAATGTAACAAGGAAGGACAACAAAAATACAAAGACCTGCAACAGAAATAAGAAAAAAATGTCACATACATCAAATACAATAAAATGAATGAAATGAATGAAAATCAAAAAGTTTTACAATCTATACGCGTTTATACATATGTAAATAAATAAATAAATCTGTATATAATTTATAAGAGAAAAATAAACATAAACTTTCCCGCGGGCAAATGAATAGTCGATATATACTTTATTTACACACGTGAATTTCTGCCAAGCAAACTGCACGTGCGGTGTAAACTATTTAATATTCATAGGAAAAGTAGCATGTGAATACAAAGTACTTTAAAATACGATAAGTGTATAGATTTAACAGAAATCTGATTAATGGTATAATAATTTATATTTGTCCTTTTATGTCGAGTGTAATCTTTTTTTTTGCTTTTCATATTAACAATAACATTCTTTTAATATTTAAATTTCTTTTAGAAAAAATTAGTTTTCAAAATAGAAAATAAATTTTATCCTTTTTTGTGAATTTTATTCTTTTTGCTAATTTTATCATTTTATAAATTTTATTCTTTGACAATAAATTTCATTCTATTCGTTAATTTTATTTTTAGACACTTTACCTTTAATTTTTAGTAAACCAACTTTTCTTTTATTAGAAACTTTTTACAATTTTTATACTTTTTTACTTTCTGGCTTCGCGCTCGTTAATTAATTGAAAAAAAGTAGCAGAAATAAGCTTTATGACTGAAAAGAAATAGTAAAAAAGGTATCTATCGAAAAATTAAATTTCAAGACTAAAATAACTCATTCTGGTAATAATTTTAAATCTATATTTTTGTAAAATTCAATTATACTTTCTGATTTTTCAGTTAGAACTATTTAAAAATACGATTAAATTTAAAAGAGTAAAATAAAAAAATTCTTTGAAATTATTATAATTATTATTGAAAAATATTTTCAAAACATTGATTTTAAGAATTTCTTTAGGTTATAATTTTTGAAAAGTAAATTATTGTCAATAATTCAGCCTAATAACTTTTTTTTTAAAAAGAAAACCATTATAGTTGTAATTTTTAGAACTAATTAAATTTCAAAAGATTTGAAGTTGAATTATCTTCAAAAACCTTATTTTTACAGAATTTCTAAATTAAATTATTCAAAACTTCAATAATTTTTGTTAAATTAATATTAAAATACTTATTATATAGTTTATTCTTCAAAAAGAAATTAAAATTTTTAATAATAATTTTAATGTCAAACCCTTTGAAATTTAATTATATCTAAAAATTACAAATATAATTCTTCCAAAATTGAAAAAAGTTTTTAGAATCCGATATTAGTAAATAAATAAAGTAATGAATTGAAATAAATTAATTAGTTTGGTATAATATTGAAAATTGTATCAAAATTTTTAAACATAATTGAATTCTTTCGACGAGTTTTATTAAGTTTTTTTTTTAATAATAGTTGAATTCTTTCGAGAAACTTTATTAAAATTATTTTGACACTAGTTGAAATTTTGCCAAGAATTATATTAAAATTCTTGAAAATAATTGAATTACTGTGAAGAATTTCTTTGAATGTTTTGAAAATTATAGATTTTTTAAAATAATTTTAATTGAAAATTTTGAAAAGAAATTGAATTTTATAAAGAATTTCTTACAAATTTTTAAAATAATAGCGTTTGTTAATAATATTGTAATTAAACATTTCATTATTAAATTATATTATAATTTTTAGAAAATAATTAAATTCTCCTCAGAATTTTGAATTCAATCAAGTAATTTGATTAAATTATTGAAAAATAATTGACTTCTTTCGAAGAATATTATAAAAGTTTTTCACAGTAATTAAATTATTTCTATGTATTTCTTTAACTTTGTTAATATAATCGTAATTAATAATTATATTATTAACTTTTATTAAAATTATTGATAGAAAAATGAAATTCTCTTGAACAATTTTCTAAGAGTTTTTCGAAAATAATTAAATTCTTTCGAAGAATAATTTTCTTTAAATCTTTTGAAAATAGTGTAGTTTTTTTAAAATAGTTTTTTAAAATAATTTTAATTAAAAAGTTTAAAAATAATTGGATTTTACCAAGAATTTCTTTCAGAGAAATTGCAAGTGTAATTCAAGAATTGTAATTTTAATGAATTGTAGATTTTTATCATTAAAGTTGTAATAGTTAAGAATTTGGATCAAGGGAAATTTGAAGCGACTAAAATTCTTATTAGATTAGATTAATTTGAATTGATAAAGGTTAATTTAGTATCTTTGTATATATTAATGAAACGAGGTGAATAGGTGAATAGATGATGATTCATGAATTTATGATTATTTTGAAGAAAATAAATATTAATTTTTTTATTTCATTAGCGAGTTCAAAGTAATGCAAATTCTCAAGAAAAAATTAAAAAATACTTCTTAGTGTCACAAATCTAAAAAAATGTACTCAAATGGTAGCAAATCGTAAAAAAAGTAATAAATAGCAGTTTTTATTAGACGAATACAAAACCTGTTCTTTTATACTTTTACAAAAAAAAATACAATATTTACTGTTAAAAGTAAAAATAAACAAAATAAAAAATTCTTTCTTAAATTTTGAAAATTGAATCATGTTTTTTTTGTTTTTTTAACATCTGCAAATTTGTTTTTCGTCAAATTAAAATAGAACTCAAAAAAAAATTTTAAATGAAATCATTGAAATGTATTTTCGAGACATTAAATTCAACACTTGCAACTTTCCAGGCCTCATTGTTGGATAATATGATGGATTAATGTATGTGTATTTTATGACGACACGTGATTTATTGCATAAAATGAAACCGAACAAAGAACAAAAATTTGATTACGAACCTTAATACTTGCAAATTTTTGAATGAAGGCCGGTCTACAAGTTAGGATTCCACAGTCCTTTGAATCAGGACTGAGAGGAGGTGTCTGTGGTTTTTCCTTTTCAGTTCTGGAAAATAGGAAAATTAATTAATTTCAATTCTCACTATAAAATTACGAAAATTAATTAGAAAATTTTAAAAATGTAAGAAATTTCAAATACGAAAAAAGTCTTGTATAAAATTCCTTATTTTGTTCTAAAAAAAAGAAAAGAAATAAAAATTGAAGAAATTGGAAAAATCGAAGAAATCCTCTAAGCAGAGGAGATTTGAAAAAATATTAATTTACCTGTCTATCATGGAAGCACTTGGATTCCTGCTATGACATTTGATGACAAAGTCTCTGTAAAAGTGCAAAAATAAAATGATGCATGATGTGGTGAAACTATTTCAATTCTTTGTTTATAAGAATTTAGATGGAAAATAACATTTATTTTTCTTCCTCTACATCTTGAAAAGCATAATAAAAAGGAATTGCAGCGACAGCGATTAAATCCCTCTGGGAATAAACATGCAGTCTTATGCATTTTAATATTTTCCCAGGCCTCAATTTATCAAATCTCTCGCGCAACTCTATAAAAAAAATTTCTTTGTTCACAAATCATCAAGGAAATATTTTATTTTCAATGATGATTTTTATGTAACAAAAAAAAATTGCAAAAACTGTTAAATAAACCATTTTTCCGTTTCTAGAAAAAGAATTTAAAAAAATTACACAATAATTATAGAAGATAATTTCTTTGTGTTTTCCCCCCTTTTTTTTATTACCGCTTTTATAAACTAAACTAGATTTTCCGATTTATATATTTATTAGGATAAAACTTTGAAACAATGGCAGTGAATGTGTATTAGTCAGAAAATTTCTATGATACGTTTATAAATTGTGCCATGGCCACCATGAGATTACTTTCTACCCGCGCGAATAGGCCTCCATATTACTTTTAGCGAACCATGTTTAGCATTTGATCATGAGAAATATTAAAAACTGATTTTTTTCGCAAGCAAAACAAGTAATAATTCTTTCATAATTCCTTCTCATTCGTTAATCACTCTACTACAATTTCAAGGCTTAACTTTTAAATGGAATTTAATTCATAAATTATTTAATGAATAGATGCAATTCTTTCTTGTGTATTGCTCAAAGTGAATAAGAAGAAGAAGAAGAAAATGTCTTTGTTGTGTGTAAAAAAATTTGAAATTCATTTCTCTCTTCCTGGTTAACATGCGCTCTTTCATTTTTCCTAGGAAAGAATGTTTTACTTTCATAAGATTGTCTTCGGGGCATTTAAAAAAAAAATTACTCACTTCAATGAACGGTAGTTTATAATTAATTGTAAAATTATTCGTCGCATGAAAAATGATAAAACTTTAACTAATGGTACTTTTAAAAAATAATTCTAAAGTGATTGATCATTTTCGGAAATTAACATTTCGTTTTCGAAATTTCAGAAGTGGAAAAAAATAGATAAAAAATTATTAGATACACAAGGAAAATGCCTCTAAACATTTTTGTATTTTCATTTACGAATTGTAATCTTCCTTTGTGAAATTATTGGAAACATTAAGATTTATTTTAAAAAGATGAATATTAAATTAGTATTATTATTTTTCCACGGGAATTAAAATATTGTCAAAAATTTTAATTTATGACCTTCTGAAATTTAGTCTAAAAATTTCTAAAATTTCAACTGCAAATCTTGAAAAATTTAATTATTTAGATATTTAATTAATTGTTGTTTAAATTTTTATTGTATAAATTTTAGAAAGTTTAAAGTTTTATTTATTAAAAATTTTAAAGTATTGAAATTTATAATTTATTTTAAAGTTTTATTGCTTAAATTTTCAAGTAAAATAATTCGCTAGATATTTATAAGAGAATTGCTACAAAAATTTGTTTTGTTCCCACTCTAAAAACAAGTTGTTCATTTTATGACCATTTACCTTTCTCAATATATAAAAATTGCGGTTTTGCAAACTTTTGAAAAACTATGTACAAAAGGGTTCGTCCAGAAGATTTGTTAAAAATAAAATTATATAAATCATTTATAATTTATAAGTTGTTATATAAATATTTGGTGAAATTTACACTTTCATTTGCCAATTGCTTCTTTTTTATGATAGAATAATCATTTTAAAATATTAATATTAATATTAAATAAATTATGAAAAAAATACAAAATTTGAATTTTTTTTTAAAAAGAAAAATATTTATTAATTTGATAAATTTTGATAAAATATATACTTTGTATACATCAATCGATTCGTTTTCTTGTCAGGAATGTAATTTTGAGAAAAATTAATGAAAATATTAACAAATAAAAAAATTATTTCAAAAAATACAAAAAAAAAATTTTTTCTGAATTTTAAAAAAATTGTATAAAAAAATTTTTGTAGATATTTTCAAAAATCCTTGTGTCAGATTTTAGGTATTAATGACTGCAATAAACCTGCAAAATTTCAGGACAATCCATCAAAATTTGTCTGAGATAATTTGTACACAATTTTTGTGACATACACACACACACACATACATCTGGACATTTGCTCATAATTGAATATACATATATGTGACGCTCCACGAGAAAAGGGACCTTATTTACTCTTGTCATAAGGTCCCTTTTCTCGTGGAGCGTCACATATGTTTTAGATGAAAATGAGTCCATATAACCTTCTTTTGAAAAATTGAAAATCGTCACCAATGAAAAGCTTCCTCATGAGGAAGCAATAAGTAAAAAAAAAATGTTTCTAATATTTATAAATATCTTTAATTGTAAAATTATTTGAAATTTATTCTTTTTTGAATAAACATTTAATCATTATTATTATTTTACCAAAGAAATTGACATTTTTAAAAATTTCTATTCAAAACCTTTAGAAAATTTAATTATTTATAAAAATTTCAACTATAACTCTATATCAAAACTCAATAATTTTTAGAATTTTTGAGTAATTCAGTAATTTAATTAATTTAATTTATTTAACTAATTTAAGCAATTTTTTAAAATATTCTATAAATGTAATATGAATAATTAATAAATATTGTATGAAAATTCTTCAAGAAATAAATTTTCTAAAATAAATTGTGTTTCTAATTTATTTGTAAATATCTTCAATTTATTACAAAATTATTGTTATTATTACTCACATTATCAATAATTCTTTTAACATAAAAATTTAATTATTATTAATATTCTTCACAGGAATAAAGATCTTAAAAATTTCCAAATTCCAAACCATTTGTGTCAAGTCTGTTATAGATAATAATTTTAAAAATGTTCTTTGAAAACGGAATTATTTAAAATAGATTCAATTGCGTATTCTCTAAAGTTCAAATATTATTGTTAGAAATAGAAAAAAAATTCGAGAGGAATAAATATTTTTGATATTTTCAAAGATCGCTGGATGTCAAAAACAAAAATTGTCATATCAATTCTAAAATTTTATTTTTTCACTATTTTTCATGAAATTCCTTTACTTTTTCCTTATTTCTCTGACCGATTTTACTTTTCCTGATTGTTATCTGATCTCTATAGAAATAATTTAAAAACACTTGTTCGATAATTTTTTAAAATGCTGATCCCCAATTTTTTGAACGTTCAAATGATAAAGAAACATTTTTCATTGAAAATATTTTCAAAAATTACTGATTGCTATAAAAATTGAAAAAATTAAATTTAACATTTACAAACTTTGTAAATAATTTTTGGATACGTGACGAAAAATTGTTGTAATAATATTTTATATTTAAGAAGCTTAATAAATTTTGCTCATTTGAACGTTTAGAACTTTGGGAACATAAAATACATTCAATTTGCAAATTCTCTAAAGTTTACTTATTTTTGTCAGAAATAGAAAAAATTCCAAAATTCGGGGTAATTTAAAAGCTTTCAAAACGAAAAAAAAGAAATTAAGTGTTTCCAAAATAAAAAATCGCTAAATGGCAAAAACCTTGAATTTTCTTGTAAATTCTCAAATTTTGATATTTTTCCAATACTTTTAATAAAATTCCCCCGATTTTTCTTTGATTTCTCTGACCAATTTTATTGTTCCTGATTTCCCTGACCTATATCAATCCTGTGACTGAATTAACTATTTATTACGATTGAATTTAATTTTGCATTTTTTTTTCACTTGTAGATAAAATGTTATTTTCCAAAGAAAATAGTCCAAAAAATTTGCATTTTGAATAAAATTGCCAAAAGGAAAATGCCAATTCACCTGTGGTCCATAATGCCAGAACTTGGATTTCGACTATGACATCTAATTACAGTATCGTGTGTCAATGGCAAATCTGAATTTTCGCCAGCATTACCACCGGTGCTCTCTGCATACAAACCAGTCATAGCATACATACTCTCATTCCTCCTGTGTCCAGAATGATAATTGCTACCCGAGTCCGACCTGTTGGAAAGAAAAATTCAGTCAGTAAGGTCAATAATTTCAAAATTGCTCATTTACACAAGAGCGGATTTCAAATTGTGTCAATTTTATTAATTTCTACCTATAGGTAATTTTTCTTCTCTCCAATTTCAATTGAAACGAAAATTATTTTATTCCTATTTTATTATTATTTTTTAATTTTGTATCATTTATTATTTATTAATTAATACTTACTATCAATATTAATAATCCCTTTCGCTATCTTTATTCTAAAAGAGAATTTTTTTTTATAAATCTTTTCAAAAGGAAATAATAAATAAAAAAAATAAAAAAATGATTTCCTTATCATTTTTTTATTATTCATTATTAATATTCATTGTCCCTTTACTTTGTCTTTAGAGGTGAATTCTTTTCGAAAATCTTATTAAAAGTGTCGAGTAAAATTTTCTTAAATACTTGCACGATTATTAATACCTGTCCAGACACAAAATGCCTTTATAAACATTAAGTCTATTATATTCTAAACCCATGGATTCTGAAATCTGATCTCTGTCGGATTTTCTTACCCTAATATCGATACGTGAATATAAATCTGAAACCCTTCAAAAAAAAAAAAAGGAAAAATAATATAAAACTACTGAGTATAGGCTTCTTGTATATCTAGATTGCAAAAACGAGATTTGAAAGTCACCAACGAAACGATTTTTAGATATGAAAAGATAGTTGGAGAAAAATTGTAATTTCAGACCTCAGATTAAAATAAATATTCAAATGTTATTGAACAATATCAATTATGTAAAATTTTCAAAATTAATTTGAAACCTTTCGAAATATAATTATTTTTTAAAATTGCTACTGTAACTATTCCAAAATTCAATTATTTTCTGCAATTTTTAACTAGAATTCTTCTCTAAATCAATTAATTTTAATAATTTTAAGAAAGTTCTTGGAGAGTTTAGGCAATTATTTAAAAAAAAAGAAAGTTCATTTAAAATTCGTCTGAAATTCAATTGTTTTCAATTCAATGTTATGAAATTTCGATTATTAGAAAGTTCTTTAATTAAATAATATTTATTTAAAAATTCAACTAGTTTCAAAAGAATTTTAACTATAATGGTTCAAACAATTAGAATTTTCAATTCAAGTAACTCAAAATAAAAATTTTCAAACATTTTAATTTGAAACCTTTTGAAATTTAATTATTTCTATACATTTTTACTAAAACTCTTGCAATATTGGATTATCTTCTAGAATTTTTAATTAAAATTCTTCTGTAAATAAATTTTTTTGCTAAACTTTAGACAATTATTCAAAAAAATTAATTATTTAAACATAAAAATTCAATTTTTTTTTATAAAAATTACAAACTGTAACTTTTTGTGGTTTTTTTAAAGAAGTTTTCAAAGTAAAAAAAAAATTTTAGAAAAGTTTCAAAAAAATTAAAATTTTTAAAGATTTCAATTAAAATATCTATTAAAATTTAATTACTTCTGATAATTCCTGATAAAAGGTTTTTAATATTCAATTATTATCTTAAATATTAACTGAAATTCATTTTTAAATCAATTTTTTTTTAAATTTCTAAGAGAATTCAATTATTTAAACAAAAAACAAATAAATTATAGAAAAATTGATTACTTCTTAAAATTGAATTGTTATAAACAATTTTATCAAAATTTTTTTAAATAATTGAATTCTGTCGAAAAATCTATGAAAATTTTATTAAAAATAATTTAAGTACTATGAAAATTTAATTATTTATGAATAAAAAATAATTCAAATAATTGAATTGAATAAATTGAATAATTGAATTAATACCTATAATTAATACAAATTGAATAAAAAATAATTGAATTAATATGCCTAATTAATTTCAATAACTGAATTTTTGCAAAGAATTTCATTAAAATTTTGGAAAATAATTGAATTCTTTCGAAGAATTTTTTATTAAAAGTATTAAAAATAATTAAATTTGTTCGAGAAATTTATTAAAAATTGCAGTTAAATAATTAAATTCTTATAAAAAAATCTTATCAAAACTTTTAAAAATAATTGTTTTCATCGTTTACATACGAAGAGTTTTAAGAAAATATACTTGATTTCTTTCGAAAAATTTTCTGAAAATTGTATTTTAAATAATTAAATTCCTGCATAGAAATTTTATTATTTATGAAAATAATTTTATTTCAGCACAGAATTTAATTAAACTTTTTCTTAAATAATTAAATTCTTTTGAGAAATTTTATAAAAAAAGTAAATATTGAAATTCAATTATTCAAAATTATTCAAATTTTCGAAAATTATTTAATCGTTTTAAAGACTTTTATGAGAATTTTTTCAATTGTTGCAAAGAATTAAAAACTTAAAATTTTTGAGAATAATTTTTTTATTTCAACTATTAGCAGATTTAAAGTGGAGTAAATTCTCAAAAAAGAAAAAAATTATTTTTTAATGTCTCAAATCTAGAAAAAGTATCCAAATAGTAGCAAATAGTACAAAAAAATATGAAATAATAGAGTTTTGAGTGCGAATCCTAAAAACGTTTTTTAAAAATGTTCGGAAACAAAAATTGGAGTAAAAAAATTTCTGTTCGGAATTAAATTAGGAAAATGGGGAAAAAATAAATTTTCTTTTTTTTACCTTCTGTGCCCAAAGCCAGTAAAATCGCTAGTTTTGTGAGTGCCGTCGGAGCGTTTTTGGCTAAAGGCACTTGATATGCTTTCAGCTCGTTTATGGCCACTTTCTGACCATTTGTGACCAATAAATCCACCGCCAGATTCCGTTCGTCTATGGCAAAACATACTGGATGACGAGCCATTTCTCTTGTGTCCGTTTGCGTTGTTTGAAGCCATCTTTTCCCTTCAACGACCCTAATCTCTTCCTCTTTGAAAAAAAAGAATTCTAATTACGTTGCTCTTCGCCACGACATAATTGCTACATCCTCCAGTTTACTGCAACAAACAAGACAACATTACAATTAATTCTCTATACAGTAATAATGATATTATAATTACGCTACAATTAAAACTATTATAAACCAGAAAGAGAAAGGAAATATCAAAATAAACAACAAATAATCAGATGCATAATAGAAAACATTCTTAAAGTTCTCAAAGTTCAAAATGAACATGAAATTTATTTTTTTCTTGTTCAAATTAAAATTTTTACAATAATTTTGCGAAACTAAAATATAAAAAATAATACCTAACAATTATAAAGTTTCTAACACCAACTTTTAATTCGACGAATTTAAATTTGACCAATTTTTTTATTAATTCAATTTTTCATTAGAAGAATATAAATTTAATCAATTTTTCTATTAAACTAATTTTTAAACAAAACGAATTAAAAATAAAACCACGACTATAAATAAAAGTTCGAATAATTACAATTGGATTAGTTTTATTCTCCAACAGGTTTAGATTTAAAATTTCTATTTAGCATGAAAAAATAAAAACCATTTTTATTTAACCAACTTTGCTATTAATTCAATTTTTAATTTGAGACGAATTTAAATTTTACCCATTTTTTAAAGAAATTATTAGCTAAATTTGAAAATTAAAAAAAGGAATGTGAATAAAAATTTGACTAATTACAATTGGATTTAATTATAAACATTTCTATTTATCAAAAAATTAATAAGAATAATTTTTATTTTACGAACTTTTCTATTGATTCAATTTTTAATTAGAGACGAATTTAAATTTTATCAATTTTTTAAAGAAATTATTAGCTTAATTTGAAAATTAAGCAATGAATGTGAATAAAAACTCGACTAAATATTATTGGATTTAACTAAAAACTTAAAATATTAATAGTATTTTAGCAGAAAATTATTAATTATTATTTTTCAACATATTTTTATGTAACCAATTATTATAATTTAAAAATCAACTTTTAATTAGACGAATTTAAAAATAAATTTTTAATTAAAGAAATTTAAATTCTTTTCATTTTGAATTCTATTTTAGTTCAAAATTCTATTTAGTAGGAAATTTAATTTAATTCTGTAACAATTATTATTAGAAAATAAACATCAATTTTTTTTTTCTAAATATTATTGTGGCAATATTGTTGCGTTATATTTTATTAATTTACTAAATGAATAATTTTTTTCGTTGATAAACGTTGTGGACTTCAACGTGGTTTTAATTAAAAATTTCTATTTAGAAGAAAATTATTACATAACAATTTCTATTCAACCAATTTTCTATTAATCAAATTTTTAATGAGACGAATGATAAACAGAAAAGAAAAGAAAAAATGAATTAATTTTTAATCAAATCAGATTTTTAATGAAACAAAAAATTAACATTTATTAATAATTCAGTTTGAAACCAAATTTATGGATTAAAAAGCAAAAGTTTAAAAAACGAAAGTCTGACGATTAAAAAAGGGAAATAAAAAACAATTCCTACAGCATAAAGAGAATGTTTAATAAAAGAAATGACTAATGGAATGAGGAATGAAGAAAAGTTCTTAAAGAACAAATTAATTATATTAAAAGTTTCAAGACTACACTTTAAAAAAAAATCCGTATTTTGAATATTTACTTTAATATCCTTTTTGATAATCTCTACATTCTTTCACACCTTTTTCATTAATAAAAATTAAAAATTAACAAAAATTGAAAAAAAATTTTCCTTTTTCTTTTTTTAATTTTTTCAAGTCTTTCTTCGAAATTTGTTCCATCTCTGCATTCTTAATTTTGGACTAATTAAAATAACACACTGGCATTTCCTCACACAGAGCCAAGTATAGAAACTGAAGAATAAATTTTGAGCATTTGTGATTGTCATTAACACTCTCTTTTGTTTCATCTTAATGAATTCCTAGGCAGCAGTGTGCTTGCTGCTGCTGCTGCTGACAACTTTTTTAGATTATCGATTCGAGTTGCTCTTGATTTTAGCTCTCATTGAAAAATTGAAGAAGCTTTATCCAAGCCACAAAAAATATATTCTCAAAGAAATAAAGTGCAACTTTTATTTACTAAAAAAAAACATTGTAACAAGTTTCTTTTTTTCTCTCTTCTCTTTTTCTTTGGTTTAAAAAAAAAAAATTTCTTTTTTTTCCCCTCGTAAAGTGTTTCCTTGAACTATTATTATTCATAATTATTATTATATAGTGGACGATAAAGTCTCTTCTTCATCATTTGACTTTTTGTCTCGCAGGTCTCACTCTTTTCTCTTCTTTCGTTATTATACATATCAGCACCGCGCACTGTTCCCATTTAGATTGATCCGGAGAAATTACACTTCTTCAAAGACAAAGAAACATCGTATGTGTCTTTAATTGACGACAATTATTTCCAATTGGAAACTGAGACATAGAATTTATTATTCATTACTTTTTTCTATAACTCTATTTGTATATTTATTTCTCTTTTTTATTTATTTTCTATTATTTATTTATTTATTTATTTATTATTTACTATATTATTAATCGACTAATTACTTTATTATATTATTATCCTATTTAACTTTTGTCAGCATTTTGATATTTAATTTATTTTTTATTATTATATTTATTTATTCAATTTACACGGGCAAATATTCAGTTATTATTTATATTTTTCATTGTCTTGTAATAAACGTAAAGTGTTTTGTTTATATTTCACTTTTGTCATGCAGTTTTTTATTTTTTTTATTTTATTACATTTTTATTTATTATTCAATTTATTATTTTAAATATTTTGTTATTTCTTTACCAATTTAATTTTTTACTATTTTGTAATAAATGAAAAACTTTGTTTATATTTTTCTCTTGTCATGCAGTTTTTTATTATTTATTTATTTATTCAATTAAACGGCCAAATTTTCATTTATTATTTATACTTTTCATTGTTTTTGTAATAAACGTGAAACTTTGTTTATAATTTACTCTTGTCATGCATTTAAAAAATGATTAAAAATCAGTGAAGAAAAATTGCTACCGATGTGAATTAGTGATTTTTATTTATTCAGATACATGGAATTTTTTATAAATAAAAAAAGACTTTTAAATATACAATACATTTTTTTGAAAAAACTAATATTTTTGTCAATTTTAACTATTGTATATTTTTTATTATAATTAATATAGTTTAATAATTATTTTCTTCCTATAAAAAAATTAATATTTAGAAAAGAGTTCAAAAAAGAAGTATAAAAAAAATTGCTCATTAAATATTCGATGAGTTTTTGATGTAATAATTATTATTTTTAATATTTAAGAATTTTTTTTTAATATTCAAACACAATTTAAATTTAAATAACATTAGTTAATTACAAATTTAATATTTTATTTAGACTAGGTAATTATAACATCAAATTCTAATTCTACTTCTGAATGAATAAAAGTATAATACTTAAATAATATTTATAGATAATATTTAAATAATATTTATAGATATAATATTAAAAATAAAATTTTTAATAATTGTTTAAATTTAGACTAAAAAATAAAAAATTAAAACAATTCAAAAATAGCAATACAATTTAAAACTTTATTAAATTTAAGCAATAACAATATTTAAATAACATTTAAAAAAATAGTTTAAAAGTGAAGTATGTACAAAATTGCTCATTGAATATTTAATGAGTTTTTTGAGAGAGATGTTGAAGTTTACAAATGACTGCGTTATTCATAAAGTATTTGGTTTTTTTTTCCTTCTTTTTTTGGCGCAACTCACACCTTCAGGATGTTTGCTAAAATCTCCACAAATTCATAAGTGAAAAAAAAGTTTTTTCCTCTTTACATATTCTACTTTATTCTCCACGCGAGCTCCTTCACTCCACACATGTTTTTTGTATGTTTTATATTTTTATTTATTTTATATTTTTTTTTCTTTTGTTAAGTGTATATTGTCTGGGTGAATAAGAAAAAAATATTACTTTGAACTCGTGTATAAATATATATATATATATATATAGGGTTCAACATTATTTCTGGAACACTGCTTTTCACTTTCATTTTCTTTTCAAATAAATACTTTTATACATTTTTATGATGTTAACAGAGTAATATTACATATACAATATATGTATATGCAGGTGGACAATGCACTCGTAAGGAAATGTCTGTTTGAAAATAACAAATTTTCGGTTAAAAAATTGCGAAAATTAAAAATAAATAAATTTTTAAACTAAAAATAAATTTACTCTCTAAATTTGAATTAGTAAATTAAATGTTTACTAATTTAAATTTATGACTGACTTTTTTGCTTTTGAATTAGTAAATTTTACTTATAAATAACCATTAATTTATTAGTCAATTTTACTAATTCAAAAGCAAAATAGTCGGTCAATAATTCAAATTAGTAAAAATGTTGACTATTTTTATTTAATTGCTTTATTTTATTTATTTACTTGAATTAGTGAATGACTTAATGCTTATGAATTATTAAAATTGACTAATAAATTAGTAGAAAAAATGACTATTTATTAGTAAAATATACTAATTCAAAAGCAAAAAATCAGTCACTAATTAAAACTAATAAACATTTTTCTAATTCAAATTTATAAATTATAATAAATAATAAAAAAATCTAATTCGTTGACTCTCAGTGATCGTTTATTTCACCAAATTTTTACCTACAAAAATAAATAAATTCAAAAATTAGTTTTGTTTCATTTTTTAAGGAAATTTTTCGGAAAATTTAGAAAACAAAATAATTTCAAATCTTTATAATTTAATTTATGCATATTTATATTTACATATAATTAAATTTATAATTTAATTATTTATGCAATATAGTATAATGTGAAATGTTATTACTAATTAAAATCACATGCAGTAACATACTAATTATAGTTATCAAATAAATAATATAATTTACAATTTAATTTAATCATTTTAATTTTTTTCTTTTCCAAATATTTTTTATTTTTTTTTTCAAGCATTTTTCTCAGTTAAGCAAATATAGTTTAGAGTAAATTAAGCGTTATTTGCTTTCGAATAGCTTTTGTCAAAC